CTTTGGGCCACACCTCACCATTAACTTTATTTTTTTGTATACGGCTCTGGCTTTTTGTGTAATTCTTTGCTAGCTGACTTTTTCAATGGAATGGTGTATCAAAACAAACAAAGAATTAAATAAAAAATCCAGATCCGTATTGAGAAGTATAAAGTTGATGATGTTGGTCCAAAGACGAAACGTCGGATTCCAAATTTGAGAACACCATATTGTAGAGGACAAAAAGTGGCAATGCTGAAGTGTCATTTATTTTGAAGTATCGCTTCAAATAAGCACAGGAAATAAAAATTTCAAAATTTCGCTTTTTCCAAATACCTCCGGAAGTATTCGGAATTTTCCAGATTTCAAAACGGCATTTTGGTGAGCAATAAACTGCGTAACTTTGCCCCAATTTGACCGAACCTGTATCTATTATGGATACCGAGATCCGCATACTTACTCCCGAATTTGTAACACCCTGTATATGGTACAAACCATTTTAAAAATTATCCATTTACAATATCAAGGTTGAGTCATAAAAAAATAACATTATTTTTAAGCAAATAAAAGCCTAATTTGGAAAAAGTATCTATCTCACCACAACAAATTCTTTATTAGTTGTCATCATCTTCGTGTTTTATTAAAACTTTTGTCTTTCACGTCTGTCTGTGACGATTTTTTTCTAAATTCAAACACCCGGTATATACGTATTTAAAAAACTCTGATTCCGTAAATACCGCAGAGGAAACGCATGTTTCAAGTGTGATGAACAACTTTCAAGAGGGGTTGAAGATGTGTGACCCCAAAGCAGGACGACCTCCTTGACTGACACTATTTTTCATTATTTATTGAAAAGTGCACTATTATCACTTCATTTAGCTGTACCTAATCGAGTACCTAATTGTAACAAAATTATCTTGAAAATTAAAAATGTTATATTTGCTTATAACTATATGAAAAACATGCGTTTCCTCTGCGCCACCCTGTACAACTGCTTAACCAGAGTAATGTGTATAAGAAAGTTAAAAAAACTGAATATTCTTTACACATTGCTTATGGTAATATTTTTCAATTTGTTATAATTACAGAAAAAAATTACTTTTGATATTTTGTTATTTTATTCTAACCCAATTAATATTCCAGAGCTGTTTTCTCGTGTTCACTTTTCTAAAGTTGTATCAAAACAGGTTTTCGAAACAGTATATTCTCACGTTGAACCGAGGGGGAAACCACCTTAGAATTTTGGTGTACCGTGCGTTCAATTTATCTTGATAACATTTTAATTCGCTGTAACTTTTTTGTTTTTGAAGGTATCAAGGTAAATAAAAAAACAAAATGTAGGGTTAGTAGCCAAGTTTTTCTTCAAGTTACCTATAAAACAAAACACTATCAATTTTCTGACATATGAGCCAACATTATATTTTTTTAAATGGAACACCCTGTATATTATATGAGTGTTTGATAGAATATCTTATTCCGATTACAATGATATAATACACTCCATATTTTAGTCCACTCGTTTTTGACAAATCGGCAAAAATATATGAAACTTTTGAAGTGAAACTTATTAGGCGGCGATCTGATATTTGGGGAGAGAATCATTGATAGTGCATATAAAAATATCATATTTTTGCCGATTTGTCAAAAACGAGTGGACTAAAATATAAAGTGTGTTATATCATTGTAATCGAAATAAGATATTCTATCAAACGCATATATAATATACAGGGTGTTCCATTTGAAAAAATATAATGTAGGCTCATATGTCATAAAATTGATAGTGTTTTGTTTTAAAGGTAACTTGAAAAAAAACTTGGCTACCAACCCTACATTTTGTTTTTTTGTTTACCTTGATACCTTCAAAAACAAAAAAGTTACAGCGAATTAAAATGTTATCAAGATAAATTGAATGCACGGTACAAACTGATAGAATTTTTTAGAATTTCTTAGAATTTTTTAGAATTATCAGTATATTTTAGCATTTTTTAGTATTTTCTAGCATTTTCTAGAATTATTTAGTATTTTTTAGTATTGTTTAGAATTGAATTAGAATTTTTTAGAGATAATTTAGAATTTTCACCTATTGCGCATGCTTAAGAGCCCGCGCACTGCGCAATCTGTTGGGATTTTTGGAAATTTTTTTGAATTTTTAGAATTTTTCGAGAATTAGCATTTTTCAAAATTTTAGAATTATTATTTTTGGTGTAAAAAAATAGGTAGGTAAGTTCCCCCGAGCGGGAAACCTTCTTAGAATTTTGGTGTACAGGGTGATCTATTATAAATGTCACCCCCTTCTAACTTTTTCATTTGACATTTTTGACAAAAGTGTCAAATACAAAAGTTTCAATAAATTGTCGAAAGTTTTTAACCAAGTCAGTTTTAGACATACAGGGTGTGTCAAAAAAGTGTAGCAGTGTGAAGTTATATTTTTTTAAATGGAACACCCTGCATATTGTGCGATATACGATTTGATGTTTATCTTCGATATTTATAAGGAAAAACATGAAAACTCCTTTCAAGGTTTCATATTGAAAAAAGAAAAATTATACCATTGAGGCTTTAGAGAATTTTTTTATGAAGAGTTTATTGTTCAAATTTTATTCATTAATATACAAGGTAAAATATTATACAATATAATGATAAATCCAGTTATTATTATTATTTTTGAAAAAATAACATGAGAGAACTAGCAAGGGATTTTCGCGTTTTTCCCTATAACTATTGAAGATAAACAGAGAGATAAACATATCAAACCGTATATCGTTGAAATCATATTATCTAGTATGGTGCTAGAACTGGTAAGGGGACTAACAAATAAGCGCACAATATACAGGGTGTTCCATTTAAAAAAATATAACTTCACACTGCTGCACTTTTTTGACGCACCCTGTATGCCTAAAACTAACTTAGTTAAAAAAAAAATGATAATTTCTTAAAACTTTTGTATTTGACAGTTGACACTTCTGTCAAAAACGTCAAATGATAAAGTTAGCAGGGTCGACATTTATAATAGATCACCCTGTACAAACTGATAGAATTTTTAGAATTTTTCAGAATTATCAGTATTTTTTTGCATTTTTCAGTATTTTTTAGCAATTTTTAGAATTATTCAGTATTTTTTAGAATTGAACTAGAGTTTTTTAGAAATAATTTAGAATTTTTATCTATTGCGCATGCTCAAGAGCCTGCCCAATTTGTTGGGATTTTTTAGAATTTTTTAGATTTTTTTAGAATTTTTAGAATTTTTTGGGACAATAATAACATGAAAATTAGCATTTTTCAGAATTTTAGAATTTTTGGTGTACAAAATTCGGTAGGTGGTTTCCCCCTCGCGTTGAACCCATGACGTCACATCAAAATTGGTCAAACCGTTTCGAAATAAAATCCAATCCACGTTTTTAAACAATTTTTTTGAGCCGAGAACTTACGACGTCATGTGACATTGTTTTAAACCAGTTTTAAAAACGTTTTAAAACATTTGACACGTGAGAAAACACCTATAGTCTTTACACAATCATTCACAATCCTTACACAATCACTCACAATAATGACAGAATCAGTCACAATCACTCACAATCATGACAGAATCAGTCACAATCGCTCACAATCAGTCACAATCCTTATACAATCATTCACAATCGTACACAATCACTCACAATCGTACACAATCGCTCACAATCTTAGCAAATTTCCTTAGAGATTGTGGAATTTGGCAGTCGGTGTACACATTTTGGGTCAGCTATTCACCCCTCGAATCGTGTTAAGCAATTTGGGGTGATTTATCAATTTTTCAATTTTTCTGAGTGCCTTTTTTCATAGATTTCGGCTTCAAATCTGAGAATAATTTAGCGTATGGAGTTTGTGGGATTCCAAAATAAATGACCATTAGGACACAAAATCTCAACAAAAAAAAAATTAAAATTTCATCTATTTAGTAAGAAGGTCATAACTTTTTTTCTATTAAAGATATAAAGCTGAAATTTTCAGCGATTCTTATTCCAGTAGAGGACTACAATCCATGAAAATTTCAACTCATTTGGACTTATAATTCCTGAGATAAAATCGTGTTTAGCAATTTGGGATGATTTATCAATTTTTCAATTTTTCTGAGTGCCTTTTTTAATAGATTTCGGCTTCAAATCTGAGAATAATTTAGCGTATGGAGTTTGTGGGATCCCAAATGACCATTAGGACACAAAATCGCAACAAAAAAAAAAATTGAAATTTCATCCATTTAGTAAGAACCTTATGATTTAGATTTTGGAAAACTTTGGAAGGTCATAACTTTTTTTCTATTAAAGATATAAAGCTGAAATTTTTAGCGATTCTTATTCTAGTAGAGGACAACAATCCATGAAAATTTCAACTCATTTGGACATATAGTTCCTGAGATAAAATCGTGTTTAGCAATTTGGGGTGATTTATCAATTTTTCAATTTTTCTGAGTGCCTTTTTTCATAGATTTCGGCTTCAAATCTGAGAATAATTTAGTGTATGGAGTTTGCGGGATCCCAAATGACCATTAGGACACAAAATCTCAACCAAAAAAAATAAAATGTAGGTGCCCTCTTACTAAATGAATTAAATTTCAAATTATTCTCAGATTTGAAGGCGAAATCTATGAAAAAAGGCACACAGAAACAATAAAATATTCCCAACTTTATGCATGACCCTGGTCATTGAATTGAAAGTTTCAATTCAATGACCAGTTTCAATTTGAAACCATTTCAGAAGGATTTCGCCAATTCTTAGGTTGAAAGTTGCTTGTATCATTTAGTTTATAGTTTATAATACCTTTTTTCATTGGGGATGGCATGCTTTTTTTAAACTTAAGTAGTTATTCAAATTTGTATTTTATAGGTTGTTTTTTATTAATACATATTAAGTTTTAGTGTATAGTCATGCTTTGTCAATGGCAATTGTAATTCTTTTTCTGGACAATCAAGTACTATTTCATTTTATTAGCTTAGTGGTTTAAAGCAAGCATAAAATATCATTATTTGGCAATTTATATGTTTCAGTAAAGAAAGAAATGTCCGTATATTGATTGATAAAACATAATGGCGCAATATTACGAAGTAGTGAGCGATGGCACCGTGGACCAGACGCATCAATTTTTCAATGGAAATCAAGACAATGAGGGCAATGAAAGACCCCAAGTGGAATACATACAAATTGCTGCCGAGAATTCACCTCAATTCCAAACACAACAGGTATAAATGTGCTACTTACATAGCCAATAATCATTATCAGATATGGCTGAAATGCCATCCTAATCTTTCAGTCAATTATCAGTGAGTGACATCACTGGCCTTTTAAAACCCAAGCAGCTAACTTTGTTTCGAAAGTAGGCAAGGGATAGAAGAGATCCTGTTTATTGTTCACTTAAATCCATTGCTTAAATCCTTTCTAAACTTCTGAAGGTCATTTTAAGACAATGAAAAGTTGAAAATTTTACATTTGTTAATTTTTAACCCCTATACCTATAGTACTTCATAATTCAAATTAAAAGTCAAATATGTTATTGTTTGTCAACAGTTTATTTTAAAAAACACAACTAAAGATCGTCCAATTTTCTCTCAATCAAACATAGGTCCTCCTTTCTGGCGACCAGGTGATGGTATTAGACGGTACCCAGCAGCAAATCCAACGAGTCGTCATCGATCAGGGCCACACATTTGCGACAAGCTCTCAACAATTCAGCACCATTGTTCAAAGCTCGTCCATGAACAGTCACCAGCGCTCCCAAATCTATTACGTAGAAGCTAGCAGCTCTGACAACGTACAGAGCGTGCAAACGTCGCAAGCCCAAGTCCAACCTCAGCCCATAGTTTTGAACCATCAAATGAGTGCTACTAATACCAACCCTAGGCAAGGGGCTCCGGTTCAGCGTTTGCAACTCAGAGCACCGGTGAGGCAAACCCTGGTTCAACAAACAAGACCTTTATCGTTGACTACAAGACAAGCAGTACCGCAGTTGGTGAGGACTCAACAGCAACCTGCACCTGCCAGAAATATGTCGCCTCAAATACAAATGAGAGTTAGAACTGCTAGTCCGCAGGCCAAGTTGCAGCAGATTCCACAACAGGTAGAAATTGAGTGTTTATTTTACAATTTTCTCTTTGTAATTTAGATGGTGAGGCGATTTTTGAAGGTGAAAGTTTGACAAATAATATTAGTTGGTTCATTTGCTGTGCGATGGAAATTTGTCTCAAAAGTTCTATCATTTCTAAGAATTCTTAGTGGAACATAAAATTGAAGTTTAGGAACAAGTTCGTGACAATTTTGTGCATTGTTAACCAATTTTTCTTTTAATAGTTGCAACAACATGTACGACAGACGCAGGCGCAATTAAATCAGCAAGCTAAAGCACAATTTACCCACCAGAAACCGCAAACCTCAACGCAAGATAACCAGCAGGCCCAAGCTCAACTGCTAGGGATGAACCGGACAAATAATTTACAAAAGCTACAACATCAACAAGCTCAGCAACAGAGACCTCAGATGGCTCCACAGCCTCAGCAAGTCGCGCAACATCCTCAGCAAAGTGTGCAACAGCCTCAGCAAGTTGTGCAACAGCCCAAACAAATGGTGCGTCAACAGCAGGTGGTTGAGCAGCAATCGCAAAGTCAGAGTCAATTTCAAAAGATATTGAGCGAATATCAGCAAAGTAGGCAACAGCAGAAAGCTAAAGCTCAAGAAGTAAGTGTGCGATTTGATTTATTCATTTTTATTATTTTTCCTGATTTTCAAGAGTGGCCAAATTTACAGTTATTTTGATAATTGTTGCAGGCGGAGTTAGATGATCATGATCCATCAATGAATAATACGCCTAGTGGACAGATTGCTACTTATAAAAAATTATTGGAGCAGAGGCCCCTTGCCAAAAATACTATTCTTTCCAGGTAAGGATATTTCTCAACTAATGTCAAATTGAAAAATCTACAAGAAAATCAATGGTGGTAAAACTGAACATGTTTTGTCTCAGGATTTATTTCAATTTAAAAATATTTAGAACTTTTGATATTTCCTACTTTTGCTTCTATAACACTATAACACATCCACTGGTAAAAATATAAGTTTTCTGACTCAGAGGCAATCATTGTTTTGACCAGAAATGCCTGTTCTCGTTTTTAATTTTTAATCGTAATTATTACTCTCCAATCAGGCTACCAAGTAACATCAAAGTAACCCAAACGTCTCAACATCAATCTCAAACCATTGACGAAGTGGTCAACCAGTTCAATCAATCAACATCGCAACAACAGCCAATCCGTCAGCCACAACAGCAACTTCAACCTGTCCAGCTGTTGCAACAACAACAACAACAACAACAACATCAGATTGTCCAACCCAGCGTGGAACCTGCCAATCCAATTCTGCCCAATATAATCACGAAAAGAGCCAGAGCCGCGCCCAGACCTCGAAATCCAACTGCAGTCGCTCGAGGACCTCCTGGCAGTACTCCCAATGCTATAAGAGTTCCAAGACCGCCAATGGTTCATCGTCAATTTAATAACGAAAACAATGGGCGAATGGTTGTGCCTCCTCAACCCCCAGCAGGTCCCAGATTTGTACTTAACCAACAGCAACATCAACTTTTGCAGAGATTTGAAAATCAACAACGCTCACAATACAATCAACAAGCTGCGCAACAGTCCGCTTCCTACCAAGATCAGAATTTGCCAATTCAACAAAATGGCGTTTCTTCTACTGTCAATCTAACGCCGCCACGCAATACCATGATACAGCCGCGCAATGTCCAGACGCAACACCGCAACAATCAATCGCAAATGAACTATTTGATTACACATTCGAATACGGGTAGGCATCCCCAAGGAAATACGCCTTACAACTTGTCCCAAACTCAGTTGCAACAAATTATCAGCATGTTTAAGGATAATGCTGAAAATAGAATGGCAGTTATTCCTGATGAAAACGACGATTCTATTAAAATGTTGGTTCTATTGGAAAATGGAGAACAACGCCTGATTACATTTACTTTGCCCAAAGAAGCTTGTACTATACAAGAGATTTTGGAAGAAGTAAATGTTCCTTTTACTTCAGATACTGACATTCAAGTATCAGAAGTTGACGTTGAAAGCCTTAATTATGTGGTGACAGTTGGCAACATTGCAGAAATTACTTATGGCATTATTAATAATGAGGTAAGATATTCAAATTTATTTTATCTTGCAATTACTTTTTGAGTAAGGCTTCAATTAATCAATATATTATGCTTTATTGTGGAAAGAATAAAATTCTCATTTACAAAGCGGACATCTATAAGCTACACAGGAATACTTATGGAAACAGGAGAAAAAGGACTTCCATTAGAGCTAAAAATATACAGGGTGTTTCTTTAAAAAAAAAATGATTTGGTTTTTAATTATAGTTTGATTTGAATTTGTTTGTTTGAGAAGTGCCCAAATATACTACCGATAAAACCGTACAACTTTCATATTTAAAGTTTTTTTCCATTTCGTATAACTAAAGCTGTAGGTAGGGGTCAAAATATGAGGAAGCACCCTGTACAAAGCAAAAAAAAGTTCACAAAAACCAATTGATTTTGCCAAAACAGCTTGGGAAATTGTATGATTACTAATGCCACGATTGACACTAATTCAAAAACTTACATGAAGGTTCGCCGGACAAAATAATCACACATCTTGAATTCAACTTTTTTTTCCATGTAGGAACCACTGCCAGAGCCGGGTCTTGTTGAAAACCTACAACAGAATTCTAGAGCTCATTATCATCAGCAGCCAAAGCTTCCGTTGCTTGCATCTGGGCCGGTTCTGCCTCAGCCGGAACCACCAAAACCACCCAGTCCTGAACCACCTAAATTGATTCCTGGAAAATTGGCTGTTTGCTTCATTTGCGGTTATACTGGAGAGGATTTCAATAAGTGCACAAGGTAGGAATTCTGTTGTCTTTTTGGAAAAAAAACATATTACTAATGTTTCAATAATTATTCAGGTGCTCCAGAAAATTGCCAGACAACGTAAGATCCGTCGATGCGAATGTGGACTTCATCCAAAAAGACATCCTAAAACCTCAAATAAAAATCAATTTGAGTCCGCAATCCAGCTGCAGCCCAAAACAAGACAACCCAGCTAAAGCGCCGTTGCCAGCCAAAAAGAAAATTACCAAGCCGAAAGCTGTAGAAAACGAATCTGTGGTTATCAGCTCTGATGAAGAAGAAGACTACAAGAGACCAGCTAGATTGGTCAGTGAACAACTTTTAAACAAACTAGGATCGTCAATATCTATTTCTCCAATCACAAAAGAACCTTCTTTGTCAGAAATCAAGAAACATGTGAGAAAGTGTAAGTTTATTGCTTAGTGAGTGCTTACTTTTAATAATTATTATATTTTTTTTCAGTAGTTTGCATTGAGGATTTGAAACCGTGCAGAATAGGAATAAAATGCAGAACAATTCGCATTGGCTCTTATCGTTTTGAAGTTAAAGACGATATCATACTGGATTCCAAGTGTATCGTTATTAAAGCACCTGTACGTGATAGTAACGAAATTAAAACCATAAGAATCGACCGTGGCGACATTATAAAAGTTCTGGTTTGCTATCACAAGTCTTTGCCCTTGATGTTTTTCTATTTGAACAGCGACGCCGCCCCAGTTATCAGGGACATGTTAAATTTAACAAAGGACAGTGGGTGCTTTTTTGATCCTCTCGAAGACAAGGAGGTTTCCTACAGAAACATCACAGTGCTTTCTGACAATATCGATGAAGACCTGAAGCCTACTTTGCAACTTCTTTATGGTGGGGCCCCTGCTAGTATCATTGATGAGCTTTCCCTGAAGGAAGCTAATGATATTTTGATGAAGTCTTGTCCTAGAGATGCGGTGGTGAAACTCGAGTAAGTACATGATATTAAACTTTTTAATTGTCTTTCAAACTTTTGCTGATTACCGATAATAGTAGAAAACATGCTTTGCGACTCAATTGCTCACAAAGTATTCGACCTTTCATACTCAAATTTATAGAGAATTTAATGCTCTTTTCAATAGTGTATATTTTATTTTGATTTGTTCGAATTTTAATGGAAATATTGGAAATTTTTCTTAACCTTGTCATGATTCAAAAAAAAAATCAGAAACAAAAAATGAAATTATCCTTTTTTGATTTGTTTTTTTTTTCTCTTTAAATTTAGTCATTTGGAAATGATGTTAGGGTTTTTTTCAACTAATTTAGACTCGCTCTATCGATTGGAAAAGTCAAAATTTGGATAATCAAAAATTTAATTTTGAGTTTTTTGAAAGGGTACCTTCTTTGGATTCTTATTTCAAAATCATCAAGCTTCAATATCTTGAAATCCGCTAGAGATATTGAATCAAAATTTTTAGGAATTGTAGCTCCTATCAAGCTCTATACAATCTGTATTGGAAAATATTTTCAGGATTATATTTTTTGAGAAAATTGAGTTTGAAGTTTTTGAATAAATTCGGACTAAAATTCAACTTCATATATTATAATTGAGTGCTTGCTTAGGCTTAGCTTTGGGATTGGCAATGGCAAATTGTAGTTTCTCAAGTTGTAAAGTTCTGGTCTAGAATAGTCTGAAAATTTTTTGAATATTAAACTGGCCACTTCCAAGATGAAAATACAGGGAACAGTCATTATCTGCTCCTGCTTGAAAAGAGGCCTACAGCTTTCCCGACGATTTACCCTACACAAATAACGCAGAGCTCGTTTCTGACAGATGAACACTGATTCAACAGCTGCCTGTGTCGAAAAACCCCAGAATGCTATGCCATATTTGATGTGAGACTATAAGTGCATGATACGCTATTTTAGCTGTGCGCTTTTCCAGTTCATGAAGAATGGTTTTCACTATATAACAGCCCTGTCAGAGTTGTTTATTAAGGGTATCAATATGAGTGTCAAATTTAAGTCTTGAATCTATGTGCATACCAAGAAATTTTACAACAGTTCTATCTTCTACCAGCATCTGGTCAAGTGTGATTTCATCAAGAGTGCATTTAAATGAAAGTATATTTGTTTTGGATATGTTGAAAACCAAGCGATTTGCGTCACACCGCCCCTTGATTTTTTCCAAGTCTTTTTCAATATTTGTATTAAGGATTATCACATCTTTGTGTGGCCAAAGTATGGTTGTATTGTCTGCAAAAATTACAAAAACTCCCAGAATTGAGAGTGCTGCCAGGTCGTTAATGTAAATTAAAAAGAGAACCGGCCTAGGAATGGACCCTTGAGAAACACCATGGGTTAAATTTAGCGTCTTTGAATTATCCTTACCATGAATTCTTATTAGCTGAGATCTATCCGAAAGGTATGCTCTAAACCAGCTCAACTCCGTTCCCCTGACTCCGTTGGCTCATTTTCCGCAGAAGTATTTCGTCATTAACACAGTCAAACGCTTTTGAAAAGTCACAAAACACTGTCGCAGCTTTCTCACCCTCATTAGAGCAAAAAAGAGTCTCTCCAGAAACGCAAATATGGCATCATTGCACTCCTTTGATTCCTGAAATCCGAACTGATCCGGTGACAGAACATTATGGGCTTTTAAGTAACTCACCAGTCTTATTTTCACTATCTTTTTCTATAATTTTCGATAGCGTAGTCAGTAAAGATATTGGACGGTACGCAGATGGTACTTCGTTGTCTCCTCCTTTAAAAATAGGAATAACTGCTGCCAGTTTAAGACTGTCCGAAAAGATTCCCGAGACAAACGATTTATTTATACAGTCAGTGATCGCTTCATCAGGTAGATATTTGAAGATTTTCAATGTTATTTCATCTTTTCCTGAGGAGTTTTGTTTTTTAATGGTTCTTATAACCGTTTTAATTTCATCCTTGTTTGTCGGGTTCAGCCTGAATGTTTCAGTAGAAGGGAACTCTGATAGGTAACTTAATGGATCTTTCTTTCACTCAATGCCATCTGTCAGCTTGCTCGCTATGGTGCAGTAAAATTGATTAAGATCTGTCGGATTTATTGCCAGATTGTTGCAATTCTTTTGTAATTTTCCCCTCATCTCGCCTATTATTTTCCAATACTCTCTGCTGGAATTACCCGCTGCTTTTACCCTTTTATTGTAATAATATTTCTTTGCTAGTTGTAGACTTTTATAAATTTTGCGATATGCAGTAAAGTATGAGTCAAACCAGTCAGGGTTTATAAATTTTTTTAGTGTGTACAAAGAGTGAAGATTTTTACCTGTTACTTTAATACCTCTTGTCACCCACACCTTTCTTTTCTTTTTTTTTTAATTTGAAAAGCTTTGGCTAAAAATATTTCGAACTGTTTTTTGAAATGTAGTAATTGGATTTGCCGAGTTTTTAAAGTTGCCCCAGTTAATTGTTTTCACCGCGTTTCGAAAAGTCCTATTATTTGCTGTACTAAAGATTCGAGACTCCCTTGTCATAGCCGGAGAGCCAGCGCCGAAAAAATTCTCTGAATTTACTAAAGCCAGTTTTTGGTCAGCTCATTACAGTATTTACGTACATAAACATACCTCGGGCAGTCAAGCGAAACTTGGGACAAGGACCTAGGGTGTCTGGTTAAAATTGTCAAGATAGCTAGGTAATGCAACGAATTTACTAAGTCTGAAAATCGCTATACATATTATATATAACACATAAATAACAGTAATGTTTGTCAGTCAGTTGGATAGCGGAACTGGGCCGGTCATTCAGCCCTATTGAGGTAGTTCAGTCCCAATTTATGTAAAAAAAAATAATAGGTCTATTTTTTTTTTTAGAGTGACAGCGTGACAGTGACAATTCAAAATTGTAGGTTGAAGTTTAAATTAATAGGTTTGTTCAGTAATATTAATATTTTTTGCAGATTTTTACATTTATTGGGGCTGACTGACCAGCACGGTCCCGCTATTCAACTGACTGACTACTGTTATTTATATGTTATATATAATATGTATAACGATTTTCAGCTTTAGTTAATTCGTTGCATTACCCAAGTTATCTCGACACGTTTAACAAGACACCCTGGGTCCTTGTCCCAAGTTTCGCTTGACTGACCGCGGTATGTTTATGTACGTAAATACTGTAATCAACTGTCCAAAAACTAGCTTTAGTAAATTCAGAGAATTTTTTCGGCGCTGGCTCTTAGACTATCACCTTTTTTGGCTCGTCATGGTATAGCACCACTTCTGAAAATAGAGCCTCATAATCAGAATGAAGTTTCTCTACAAATAATATCACCCTCGTCGATGTTACTGCAGATATAATCGATTGTTGTCTGTGAGTGGTTAGTTACACATGAGGGTTCATTGACAAGTGTGAAGATTAAAACATGTTAATACGTTTATTAAAGATTTCATATCTCTGGAGTCCTTACTATCAAAGTCAATATTTAGATCGCCTGTTAATATAATTTTTGCAGTTATAGGAAATTTTGAAATGAGAGTTTCTAATGACCCTAAAAATTCTAGGGGATTACCTGATGGAGGCCTGTACACACAAACAATCCAAACATCAAGTTCCTTAACATGAACTATACTGAGTTCAAATTTATTTTCTTGAAGAATAATTCCATGTTTATCAATATTTTCTACATTGTACCTTTCTAGTAAACTATCATGTGCTGATATAATGGTCCCCCATAGCCTTCGGCTCTACAGAACTTTGAGATAACACTGTACTCGGGTAGATAGTACAGTTCATCATCCTTTAGCCAATGTTCAGTGAGAAGAACGAACGATACTACTTCGTTTAATAACATTTTCGCCGAGATTCTTTATAATAAAAAATAATTGATTTGGATTAATGCTATTGCCTGAGAAATATTTTCACATATTTTTATTTTTGGAAGTATTACTTGAATGGCCAAAGAAGGATGAGCTTAAGGAAGAGTTTAAATTAATAAATCTATTTGTATTTCCTTGGTCTACTACAATTTGAAATAAACGTATGCTTATTTTGTCAATGAACGCGATTGCTCCAGAGAGGCACCGATAAAACTATGAGATTCGTTCTTACGCATACGTCATACAAACGATTGAATACTACGTCCACCAACCTTTCCATCCGTGACTGCACTCATACCTCCACTGAGTATCACTACATCGTACTTGTCAAAATCCTTTGTCAGATTGCAAATATCAAAATCAAATCAAATCAAAAAATACTTTATTGTCCAAGAAAATCAAATTTCTGTTGACAAAGCATGATATTATACATTTCCTAAATTACAATAAAATTATAACACAAAAATTTGTTGCTAAAGCTAAAAAACATCAAAACCAAAAGGACAAAATGTAAATCAGTAAAACTAAAAAGGTAAAAGAACAAGTACTATAAAAATACAAAATACAAAAAAAAAAATTAAAATAAAAAAATAAGCAAATAACATATAGTGATAAAAAAAAGTCTCATATCTCACATAAAGTTGTCTGTAAAAAATTCTTCCAGGGTATAATATGCCTTAGTCAGTAGAATGCCCTTAAGTAACCATCTAAAGCACTTTACACTATTGGCAGTCTTAACGTGAATTGGCAGATGGTTGAAAATTTTTCTGCCATTATAAATAAGTGACCTTTTGGTCAGTTCTTTTGTTGGAATCGGCAGAGGCAGATCAGCTGAATGCCGAGTGCTATAAGGCGTAGTTACACCCTGAAACTGGATGCTCAGTCTGTTCTTATAAATCAGTGAGGCCGTCTCAAGGATAAACAAAGAGTATAATGTCAGGATATTCTGCGACCGGAAATGGGGTCTACAAGAGTCCCTTCGGCCAATGTTTGTTATAAAGCGTACTGCTTTCTTCTGCAGAATAAACAATATGTTTAGAAGATATTGACTACTTACACCCCAGAAGGGAATCCCATACCTCAGATGAGACTCAAACAGTGCAAAGTAGACCATTCGAGCCACAGCCGAACC